TTTCGAAGATTTTTTTGTTTCGAAACAGCTCTGGTGGTAGTCTAAAAGTTTAATGACACTTGTGACAACCGAGACAATAATTTATTTAAAAATTTTAAGAAATTTCTAAATAGAGAAGTACAAATGTTTGAGAAAAAATAAATTTCTAGAAAATTTAAAGTTTAATTGAAATTTCTCTAAAACGTCTTCTCTAATCCCGAATATTAAATGCGTAATGTAGACAAAATTTCACCTGAAAGTTAAAACAAATTTAAAAAAAATAAAATAAATATTATTATTTATTATAAAAAAGTTTGAATTAATTGAATAAAATGATTAATGAATTAAATGAATAATTAAAAAATAGACATTTCTGTTTATGTTTAAAGAAAAAGCATATCGAAACAAAAAATCTTCGAGAATTGTAAATAAAAAAAATTAAAAATTATATCATTAAAAATATATGTATTCGCAGAAATTTGAAATCAGAAAGTAATAAAAATATAATCGAATTGAAAACCCAAAATATTTTTCGATTTTTCGATAATATTTTGCGAAATATTTTTCGCAAATTTTTTTTGTTTAGAGGTGTTGACATAAAACAAAAATAAAATGATAAAAAGATAATAAATAGAGAAAAGATTGAAAAAAAAATTAAAAAAATTTAGGCACGAGCTTTAAAGCAATGTTTATATTTATTTAAATTTAATTAGTATTTTATTTTAATTAAAGTATTTATTACATACTTTATCAAACTCAGGAATTTTTTTACATAATCTCCTATTTTAATTAATTTTCGTAAAACATTTTTTTCATTTTTAAGATTAAAAAATTAATTAAATATTTAAAAATAGATAAATTTCTGATGCTCCTTTTATTAGCGCCAACCATTTTTATTTATCAAATTAACATTTTTATATTTAAAATAAAATCAGAATAATATGAATTATAAAATAAATCGTTTAAAATCGGTGTTTTTATTTTTTTAAATTATCAAAATTAATTAATATAAATCACTTAAAATGTTCTGGATACACTTCAACTATATTTTTAATTTCCCCACAACGGATTTTTAGTGCAAAAAGTGCTATGATTTAACACAGACCGCATTGATACATTTTGTACCTGAACAACACTTAAGATTCGTACCAGTATCAACACATTTAATTCCTGCAGTAATACAAGGACCTGCAAACAGAAAATTTTTTAAATTAAAATAGAAAACTTTACCAGCTGGACATCCCCCACAATTAACATAATTAAATAAAAATAAAGTTAAAAATATAAAGAGAAAAATTTTAATAGTTAAGGATGACATTTTTTTAAATTTATTTTTCTTATTCTAAAAGTATTTTAATTAATTTTATACCTAAAGATGATCTTTAGTCAATAAATATGTAATCAACTCTAGCAATCCTTTGACTCACGTACCAAAATTCTTACTCGTATCCTGTACTCATTCTTGGTCGATCAAAATCAAATTTTCCTAGCACCTCTTCCCAATAGTAAACTTCAATCCCCCAGTCAATAACTAAATTTAAAACGGATCTAAAATCCATTTAAATTTGGGTTACATAAATTTGAGGTTTGAAGGCAATAATTTTTAATAAAATATTTTAAAAGAAAAATTAAATTAATTAAAATGATTTATTGCTTAACTCACCCTAACTGTATTTAAATTGTCTAATCTGCACTTTTCACTTTAAAAATTTTTAAATAAACATCAAAGAATCCTTTACTTCAAATCTTATCTATAATATTTAAACAACTGGGTATTTTAGAGGTAAAAGTTTTAAGTTAAGTACATAGTTCTAAAAATATTTTTTAGCTTCTATTTTATACTTTGCTTCTTCTATTTTCTATTTTTGTAAATAAATAGCAAATTTTAGCTAAAATTTAAATTTTATTTTTGCTAAAATTTATTATTTTTTGTTTATTCACATTAAAAACAAAATTCAAAGGCTCATGATTTATCAAATTAATGAAAAATAAAATTAATTTTCTTTATTTATTGACTATTGTGAAATCTAACAGACTTTTCTAAAACAAGTAGAAAATCATTTTTATATTTTTAATATCCATAAACCCAAAATTTCCATTGCTTTGATACCGATTTGAGAACAGCTAAAAATTTTCTCGTTAATTGACCGTTCTTGTTTGCCAAAATATTTCTTTAAAAAATTTTCCCATAAGATTTCATACAGATTTCTTAGTTTTTGGACAATGCTTTTTGAACATTGGGAAAAATTGAAATTTCGCGAGCGCCGAATCTTTTGGAAAAGGTACAATAATATTTAAAAATTTAAACGAAAATAAAGTTATGATGAAATGAATAGTGCCCGGTTACATTTGGGTCACCTTTTAAATTCATTCTTTCTCATCAAGTTCATATACAGTTATTATTTTTACAACTCAAAAGAAATAAACACAGTCGAATTCTAATACAAAATTGTGTTTTGGATATTGACAGTTCAGATGCTTCTTTAATTGGTAAAAATTATTCGAAATTTAACTAAAAAAATATACATATCATTATTAAAAATACAATGTCCGACACACCTGTCCGATCAACTGAAAATGCTTGTTCGCTCCTACTATAGACGTTTAATGTCAGCCGTCTTTTGCATTAGCTGAAGGAGAAATAGAAATAGCTATAGAAATAGCTCAGCTCTCTTTATACATCAATATTTTCCTTCCTCTAAATATTTATTTAAATTAATTATGGCTTATATCTGAATTAATCAAGTTATCTTTAAAATAAAATAAAGATACCTATTAGAAAATCCTAGATAAATGACAAGATTTCATTGTTTAATTTCATATATCGAGATATTGTCGAGTAAATTTTAAAAATAAATTTAAAATATATTATGAAAGAAGTGATAAATTTATTTTGTATAATTTTATGTAATCTTTTACCTTTACTAATATGGACAAGATTGGAAATAAATTTTTGTATTTTGTGTTTAGGGATTATATGTACATTTTTGTGGATTATTTTTACAAAAATTTATTCTTTGCTCTTTTTTTATATTTTATGACAATTTATTTAAAGCTCTGACAAGAATTATTGAATTTCAGACCTTTCCCTTAAATAATCTTATCACGTGAAATACTCCAACAAAATAGTCATATGTTAAAAAACGCAAAAATGTAAATTTTGTTGAAATAATCGAAAAAATATCTCTCTATTATATTTTGTTGAATTTTGTTGGAAAATATATTTCTATTATGCCTGAAATTAACACATGATATGAGCTTAAAAAAATAAAAATATTGTTAATTTATTCATAAACGTGTAAAAATTGCAAAATTATTAGAAGGCGCAAATATGGTAGTATAAATAAGATGAATATTTTAGGGTTATTCGACTCAATTCGAGGAGATTCTAACTACAATAATTTTTATAAAATTGCTTAATTCAATTTTTTAATTAAAACTTTATTTAGCAATACTCCTCCTTTTTTAATTTTTAAAAGACTAAAATTTTTTAACAAAAATTTTGTTAGCTATATTTATTTTTGTTAGCTATATTTATTTAGTCTTAATTTTTAAAAGACTAAAATTTTTTAACAAAAATTTTGTTAGCTATATTTATTTAAACTTGTTTCTAAAAACATTATTTTATATTGTTTTTAATTAAAAATAATTTAATTTTAATTACCACTTAGTTATTCTCTAGCATTAAGGGTTCCTATCAAGGATGGTGGTTCCGGGGAAATCTCCGGATATCCTAACCGAAATTTTCGGAGATCCAAGGTTTTTTCGGTTCCGGATACCCGGAACCGCCAACCTTAGTTCCTATATCGAGTTTTTAATATAACTATAAGGAGTTTTGTATTCCTTTATAAAGAGAGGAATCAAGGAGAGAAATGAGAAATATTTAATATAGCAGCTCTTTTGTAAAAATTAATTATTTAATTTACCTAAAATTCACTTAAAATTAAAATAATTTTTTTCTTAGAATTTAAATAAATTCAAAAAATGTCTCCAATTAATATATTTCTCTTTATATTTTCAACTTGATTATTATTTAATTATGTCGCCAATAAATCCAATAAATGTATTGGTGAAGGGAAAAGTTGTATAAATGACGACCATAATGCGAATCCATGTTGTCAAAAACCAAAGAAATTATATTGCGTAGAAGATGTAAAAGCAAAGGGTTATAAATGTTCGGAAACAATCTTGTACTTTCAAAGGAAAATGTGGTAAAAATGTTGGAAGTTGTTGCTATGGCTCTAAATGTAAAAATGGGAAATGTCAAACATGTGCTGGTGGAGCATCTAGTTGCTCGACCTTTTCGTGTTGTGTTGGAACATGTGAGGATGGTTATTGTCCTTAAAGGCTAACTCAATTTTGAAAGAAAATGATTTAGAAAACGAAATTTAAAAGAGAATTATTTTCTCGATAATTCAAATTAATTTTTAAATATTTTATTTTAGTTAAAATTTGAATAAATAATTTTATAGTTTCTTTAAGCTTTTTTATTTAAAATTAAAATTTAATAGAGATTTGAGTTTATGAAAAATCTACATATTTTATTAACCGATATTTGTGTGTAATGTATCTTTAATAAATTTAGAAAACCTCCAATCTTTTATCAATCTATTTATTTAAATATTATCCCATTCATCATATGAATGTTCTCTAACTAGCTTTTTCTCAGCTTTATTATTTAAAATTTGTTGCCGTTCTTGTTGTGGTATTGGATTTTTACTTTCAGAAATACTTGATTGCTAAAATTATTTTGAATTAAATTTTAAATTTATTCTCAAGAGTCTGTTTTGTATGGTGCTAACTTGCTTCCGCACCTAATAATACAGAATTGTTAAGTATTTTTCCGCCTTTTTTTAATTCTGCGAGGAGAAAAACTCTTGAGTACATCTTGTGGTATTATTTTATTATGGTATCGTTATTAAAATTAAAGTAGTAACCCGACACTTTGGGGTTGGGTATCGTGGTTTGCCGGGGATGGCATATCGGGGTTCGGGGCCCCTAATTAAAATAAAAAATAAATTTCAAATTACCTGCTCCTTTTCAAATTGCCAAGCTTCTAAATCACGCAATGTCATTTGAACATAAGAAGCCATCTAAAAATAGTATTTTTTCAAAAAATTCTAAAAAAATCTATTTAAATTACATAATGTTGCTCTTCCATTCTTAAATATTTATTTAACATTTCTAAAGCAATTTCTTTTAATTCTGCCAAATTTAAAGCTTCACATTCCCCCACTAATTTAGCTAATTCATCTGGGAGTGAAGGAAGTGCTTAGAAGAATTTTTAAAAGTTTCTAAAGAAAAAATTAATTTTTTTTACCTAAAGACCCAACAAATCTCTCCTTTTTAAATCTCAAATAAGCCAAAATATGTCTAAAAGTTTTTGAATCAGAATCAATAAAAACATTTCCTGCTCTATCTGTTGAAATTAAACGAACAGCTCCTGGTCTAAACCAATCGGCTAATTTACTTGAAAAATAATTTTTTATTTAAAATTATGTTTGTCCCCATATACCTTCTAGGATCTGCCAACATATCGCTTCTACGAACCTACAAAATGACTAACATAAATTTATTTTTCATATGAATTGTGGGCAGTATTTGTGGGCATTATTGGACTGGCTGTTAAACAAATCTATTATTTTTATCTTGCATTTAAAACAGGAAATGCTTAATTAATCGGCTAGATTTAATTGTGCAGCTATGTAGTTCGTCCGAAAATATTTGTGCACTTACTTTCCGAGAATAAAATTAATTTTTCTATCTTTCAATTACATGGGCAAATATGAATGTGCATTTTTATTTTAAAATTTAATGCCTATATATTCAAATTTTAAAATCTTAGGTATTTCAAAAAATTTTCATCACCGTATATTTTTTGCCTCCAACATTTATATTCTAAATTTAAAAAAATATTTTTCTAAATAAATTCTATAAATTATTTCTTGCCAAAATATCATCAGTGTGAACTCTCCCATTTTGTATTACACGCGTTCCGTTTCCATATCCATGCATTGCCCGTCGTTCTGTCCCCAAAGTTCGGAGAATACTTCCACTTCCATAAAAAGGTATTCCACTACCTTCGTTCTCCTCTCCAAATTTAATTGAGGAACTCTTTAAAAAATTTTTAAAAATTTTGGAATGATATGTATTGGGGGATCGAATAAAAAATTCTCTTATTTACCATGATTGGTAGAAATTTTGAAGAAATTTACTATATAGATTTTATTAAAATTTAAATTTTTATTTTCTATCAATGAATGCTTGCTCAATTTAAATTTATATGGAAAAATAAAAGAATTCCGCCTACCAATTTTTCTTTCAGTTTCTTTTTATTTCCTTTATATAAATTATTTTTTGTGTTCCTAAAAATTGTTATTAAATTTTATATAGAAATTCCAGCTGTGCCAAAAATAGAAAAATAAATGTTCTAAATTTTTAGTTTTACAAAATATTTTTAAAAATATTAGAGAGGAAATACGTATTATTTTAAAATAATAAAGGGACTAGTGGAAATATTTTTTGAAATTTAATTTTAAAACAAGACAATAATGTTGTTAATCACAATACTTGTTAATTGGATATTTAATATTAGTAATTTATTAAAATTGCTTAGATTAATTAACGGATTCTGTGTAAAAGTTTTTATTTTCATCAGAATAAAAATTTTTGTGAAAGTATCAGAAATCAGAAGAGTCGGAAAGCGAGTTCTGATTTATCAGAATTATTGCAACAAGCAAGACAGGGTATATAAAAGCTCGATACACAATGACTTTATTCAACCTTAAATCCAATCCTTACATCATTCAACGTTCTTTTCTTCTGAATCAACAACCTGAATTTGGTCGGGATGCGAATTTGCAATTCAACCACTCTTGGAATGTTGTCTGCCTCCTCCATCATTCGGTGCATTTCAATTCTTCTAGTTTTCGGATTTGTTGTTCAATGTGAAGAAGTCGTCGGACTAGGCAAGCATGTGTTGGTTAACGAGACAATTATTGAGCTCAAAAACAATACGAGGATTGCCGAAAACGACACGGATCTTGAACAATACAGGAAGCTCGAGGGCGCTTGTGATGTCACTTTGGACAACGATGGAAATATGTAAATATTTTTACATTAATTTATTTAAATCCCCTCAATTAACAGCATTCTTTCGTACTCCAAAAATTCCAGCACGACCAAGTTTGGCTGTTCTGTTGATTTGGTTACAAAGAATGAAGGGCAAATCTTATTGGAATTTGGAATCGAACACTCTGGCAACCTGTCTGATTGTGTCACGAAAGAAAATCAAGTCCCGGATAATTTGTAAATAAATTTTGATTTACGAAATTAAATTCATTTAATTTAGCATATCGTTCTCCTACAGCAATAAAGGAGGTGAATTCGAAGAACTTAAAAATGGCCCTAAAACAGGTGATGACAGTGACTGTAGTGATAAGAATATCTGCATTGCTCATGGAGGCGCTTGCAGAAATTCAACTGTCTTCTATTCTGTTGGATGGATGCCAGATCAATCAGTTTTAACCGAAAGCTTTACTTACTCTTTACAGCCAGGTAAAAAAATTTATAACCGTTGTATTTTTTATGATTTAGTTGGAGATGTACATTATATATATGTGATGGGTAGTATGAAGAACGAGACATTAAAACTTTTGATTAAAGAATTAGAATTACGCTTTCCTGAAGTAGATGTTCGGCTAGAACATATTTGCTACAAAAAGGAAAAACTTCAAAAGGCCGAAGAATGGCAGATTGTGGACAATATTTATATCAAGGATATCAAAAATCAAAACTTCACCCATCTCTTCACTTTCCATATTATGCCAATAAAAGCGATGCGTCAAAGTATGCAAAACTTTTGGGGAGACTGTAAGAACAATGAGCCAAAACCAGGCTGTGATAAAGAAGCAACATTGCTGAAATGTGACAAAATGTTTGTTAAATTTGTAAGGAACTTTCCTTTTTATCAAATAAAATAAAAATATTTTAAGGACAAAGAACACTTCAAAATTCTTGTTCCGAATGTTTTAGTAGCAGAAAATGGTACTTCAACAGATGGGAACAAAAATTTGTCTGTTTCAACAACACAAAATATGGACACTACAAGTGAATTAGTAGACACTACAACTACAAACAGTATAGAGGTTACAAAGACGTCACCTACTATCGATACAAAGACGTCACCTGCTACCGAGCCTTCAAGAATGTCTACAACTACCATTGTGTTTATTATTTCTGGCATTGTAGTTTTGTGAGTTTTCTTGTATAAAATTCAGTCTACCTATATTTTAAATTTTCAGGGTTTTTGTAAGCATTGTTGTTGTTCTGATTTGCACTTTGTTTCGACGAAAGAAAGAAGAAAACGGACAAAGTAAACAAGAAGAAAGTCAACACAGTAATCCACATTCAACTCAATCAACTACAAACGATTCTACAACAGACTCCAATGTTGACGTTGAAATGCCACCTACTGCTACTACCGAAGAAAAAACTGAAGAACGAACGGAAGAAAAACAAGACTTCAACGATGTCGACACTGTTGAAAATACACAAGGCGAGCCTTCTAATGCCAAAACTGGAGTTGCAGTTCCTAACTCTTTTATTGATACGGAAGGCATTGGAGCTAAGCACGACAACGATTTTTCTGTAAAATCTGACGTGACTGTTCCTGATACTTTGATTAGCACAAATACTGTTCATGAAGACCTCGTTGTTGCAGAAGATCCGATTATTCATAATGCAAAATCTGGCGTGGAAGTTCCTGATAGTGTTAATGAAGATTAATATAGAAGTGGAAGAATAATAGATATAAATTAGTAGATAATATATTTTTGTTAATATATAATCTGTATGTATGCAAAATTTTGTTGTATTTCATTTATGCTTATGTACTATGTAAATAAATTTGGGAATTTTTAATTTCGTATTACAATTTTTACTTCCTCAATTTCACTTACTATGCTTAAGACATCCAAACAGTAAAATGTGTATATTGTTTTATCCCAATTTCTAAATAGTAGTTGGAATGAAGACAATAATTTAATGGGAAAATGTATATAAAAACTAATTCAAGTTCTTAATTTAAAATTTTATCTGCTTGTCTAAAAATGGAAATTTTTGCCTTCAATTTTTTGTCTATCACACTCTTAAACCTTAATTAATTACTCACATTTTAATGCCCAATTACCTCACTCTGAAACAGAGCTTTTTCGAAAGAAAACCCCTTTGAAAATATAAAAAAGTACAATTCGGGGCTGAGCGTTTGACGTCCGTTTTTGGCCGATTTTTGTTTTTTACACCTCGAATGATGGCAATTTTTTAAATAGAATGTGGGAGCGAATATATTATCAAACTCGGATTCGAATAGTGTTGTAGTGGAAGCTACAAAACAAAAAACTAAAAAGTAAAGAAGAATGATTTACATGGATTGAGGTGAGTTTGAGGGATATCGGAAGATTTGGATGGATCAAGAGGTGTAAGGGGGATATCAGGTGATTTGGAGTTTTCAGGTGACAATTTAGTTTTTTTGTAAACTAAATTGTTAATAAAAGTGTTGATTTTTTACTCATCCGATAGAGGATAAATTAATCAGTATTTTCTGTTAATGTTTTTCTATAAACCGTAAAATTAGAAAGATAATTGAAGAAAGGAATGTTTGTGCGTTTGGTCCTATCTCTTTTTCCGGCACTGGAATTGGATAATCAGGGCTGTGCGTCATGGCGTTTGGCGTCTGGCGTTTTGCGTTTTGGCGTTAATTTTGGCCGATTTTTGGCGTTTTGCGTTTGGCGTGATTTTCCGATTTTGGCGCGCCAAACGCCAGAAATATACACCCCTATTGATGGGAATTTTTTAAAATAATTGGTAGAAGGGACGATCGAGAAAGGAAATTTTTCTGCTTACAGTCTTCCAAAATTCTCAAAATTTTCGCCTGCCGCGCATAAAAATGAAGAAATCTACTGCTTGGACTTCCAAAATTTTCAAAATTTTCGCCTGCGGCGCTTAAAGTAGGGAGCTCTTATCTAAAACTAATACTTCATCACCAACCATTTACTCACTTCAAGACCTATGTTATTCTTATTACCCACTTCTTGTCTTCATATCCACCTTAATCTCACGGGGTTCTACCCAAATTTTTTCCTTTTCCTCATTCTTCAAATTTCGCATCCGGCGGTAAAAAAGGATGAATTCTAGCTTCTAGGAATCTTGAAAATGAAAAAAATTTCGCATGCGGCGCTAAAATGAGATGAAAAGAGGTTTTTGAGTCTTTATAGACTATAAAAATTTTGGCGTTTGGCGTTTGGCGTTTTGGCGTTAATTTTGGCCGATTTTTGGCGTTTTGCGTTTGGCGTGTTTTTAAAATTTGAAAAATTGGCGTTTGGCGTTTGGCGCGCCACGCGAAAATTTTGGCGCACAGCCCTGTGGATAATATTGTTTAGTTAATTTTATTAAATAATCTGTATGATGAGACTGACATCGCGCCATGTCGAACAGTTCTGATCTCGAACAATTCAAGAAAAAGTAGGAGAGTAAATTTAATTATTATTATTAGACAATGTAATCATATAAAAGCTAAACATTCTACCAAATCATTCTCAATTCCTACATCGTTCAACGTTATTTTTTCTGAATCGGCAGCTTCAATTTAGTCGTGATGCGAATTTGCAGTTCAAACACTCTTGGAATGTTATCTGCCTCCATCATTCGGCGCATTTCAATTCTTCTAGTTTTCGGATTCGTTGTTCAATGTGAAGAAGTCGTCGGGCATGGCAAGCATGTGTTGGTTAACGAGACAATTATTGAGCTCAAAGACAATACGAGGATTGCCGAAAACGACACGGATCTTGAACAATACAGGAAGCTGGAGGGCGCTTGTGATGTCACTTTGGACAGCGACGGAAATATGTAAATATTTTTACATTAATTTATTTAAATCCCCTCATATAACAGCATTCTTTCGTACTCCAAAAATTCCAGCACGACTGAGTTTGGCTGTTCTGTTGATTTGGTTACAAAGAATGAAGGGCAAATCTTATTGGAATTTGGTATTTCACACTCTGGCAATCTATCCGAATGTATCACGAATGAAAATTCCGTCCCGGATAATTTGTATATAAATTTTGATTTGTAGAATAAAGTTTAATTCATTTAGCATATCATTTTCCTACAGCATGAAAGGAGGGGAATTCGAAGAACTCAAAAATGGACCTCAAGAAGGCAAAGTCAGCGACTGTAGTGATGAAACTGACTGCAGGAACAGAGGAGGCGTTTGCAGAAACACAACAGCATTCTACTCTGTTGGATGGATGCCATATAAAGGAAGCTTCTATTATTTTTTGCAGCCCGGTAATAGAATACGGTCTTCGGCGAAATAAATCTTTGATAATTTAGTTGGCGATTTAGCTACTAATACATTTAGGATGAAGGATGTACAGGATACGACATTCAATCTTACGATTAAAGGAACGGAGTTTAGCTTTCCTAAAGAACATAAGAAAGATTCTAATTTGTGCTACAAGAAGGAGAAACTTCGCAAGGCAGAAGAATGGAAGATTGTGGACAGTAATTACAACAATCAAGACTTCACCCATTTATTCACTTTCAACATTATGCCAGTAGAAGCGATGCGACAAAGCTTACAGGACATTTATGCGATGTGTAGAAAAAGTCGGACGGCTGGCTGTAAACAGCACGCAACAATGCTTAAATGCGACAAGATATTCGTTAAATTCGTAAGCAAAGCACTTAATTCGAAATCAAAAATTATTTTTAGGACAAAGAGTACTTTAGAGTGCTTGTTCCTGATATTACAACAGCTGAGCAAGCTGTAAGTTTCGAGATATATTAAGCTAGATAAAGAGCTAGAAAATAGTTTAAATATTTAAGGGTAAAACAACTCGTCTTGCTACCACGAAAGATGGAAACACTACAAATGATAAGGAGTCAACTCGAAATATTGGCACAACTTCTGTTGCCACGAATCCAAATATAGGGTCTTCGGAAACTACAAATGATCAGAACACGACAAAGGATAAAGTAAACACAAGAAAAGTCTCCACAATAACCCCAAAGACTACTGTGGCTACAGGAATGGCTTCAGGAACTATTATTCTAATCATCCTTGGAATTTTAATATTGTAAGTTCAAATGGGTGAAGGACAATATTAAATTAAATTAATAAACTTTCAGTGTTACAATAATCATCGGCATTCTAATATGGTTCTTTGTATTCCATGGCAAAGATAAAAAGGAGGATAAGAAAGATGAAGAAGAATGTCCTCCTCCATTAAATGCTACAAAAAGTAATCGAGACTCTACCATTGGAGAGAAAGAAGATCATTCGAAAGAGGATTCGAAAGAGGATTCTATCGTCGATAAAACGCAAAGTGACCCTACTGAAGAGAGAAATGATCCATCTACAGTTGTTGAAACGCAAGTTGACCATGCTGAATCGTTGAATAATCCATCTACTGTTGTTGGTACACAATTAGATTTAGATGTCAAAGCTGGTGCTGAAGTTCCCGATAGTATTGAATATGATTAGAAGGATGTAGAGGAATAAATATATTTTTTGATAGAAAATTGTTTTTCTGTGATATTATTAGATTTTGTATTTGTATTTTTCAATATTGAAATTTTTTGTTAGTAAACCCAAAAAAATTATTAAAATAGTCAACATGTATAGGGCAGAGGTTATTTTCTAGTCCCACGGATCTCTTTACGGAGTGTACTTGACATAAGACGACCAAGTCTTAAAAAATAATTAAAAAGTTAAATTTGACCCATAAATGTTAAAAATAGTTTTATGTTATAAGGGTAGAAAAGGCTTTTATGTTCTGGCAACTCAAAAATTATGAAACATCATACGGTACAACTGATATTTTAATAGCTAATTAAAAACCTAACATACCCGACACTAAAAATTTATGGCTGATCATTTGCATATCTTTTCTTAAGCTTGGTAAATGTTTAAATGTTTTTTATTTCGAGCAGCTGGAAAAGTACAAAATATTACATTAAATTTTAATTATTTATATCAAACTCCACTAGACTGAGTTTAGTAGTTTTTAACTGAGTTTTTAATATTAGATAATGGAATTCAAAATTCTTGTTCTATGTTTAAAATTTATTCGGCATAACCTGTTCTTATTCGTTTTATATATCCATCAAACAAACACATGAATTATCCTTTAAGTACATTGAATTCTGTATTGATGAACACTATAAACATACTATAAAAGCAAAATATTCTACCTAATCATTCTCCAATTCCTACATCGTTCAACGTTATTTTTTCTGAATCGGCAGCTTCAATTCAGTCGGGATTCGAGTTTTCATTTTAAACACACTTCAAATGGTCTCTGCCTCCTCCATCATTCTGTGCATTTCAATTCTTTTGGTTTTCGGATTTGTTGTTCAATGTGAAGAAGTCGGGCTTGGTAAGCATGTGTTGGTTAACGAGACAATTATTGAGCTCAAGGACAATACGAGGATTGCCGAAAACGACACGGATCTTGAACAATACAGGAAGCTGGAGGGCGCTTGTGATGTCACTTTGGACAACGATGGAAATATGTAAATATTTTTACATTAATTTATTTAAATCCCCTCATTTAACAGCATTCTTTGGTACTCCAAAAATTCCAACACGACTGAGTTTGGCTGTTCTGTTGATTTGGTTACAACGAAAGAAGAGCAGATCTTAATGGAATTTGGAATCGAACACTCTGGTAATCTATCCGATTGTTTCATGGAACAGGCAGATGCTGTCCCTGACAATATGTATG